TCTCCTCTATGATCCTTGCCGCAGTCCCCAGTCAGGTGTACCTAACTTCCTGCTTTGTTTTACTTCTAAAATATGTAGGCAGTTCTTCTCTTAGGCCATTTATGACTTTCCACCCAGTACTTTATTTAGGCATGCACAAGTCTTATCCTCTCTGCCGGATTGTAAAGCTCATGTAGTTACATGTTCATTCAGCAAGTATTTTTTGAATGCCTGTTGAGTAGAACCACTATGCCAGATTGTAGGTACAGAAATGAATGAAAAATAAGCAAAACGTGGTTCCTCCCCTCAAGGGACTCAGGGTATAATTAAGGAGACAGTAAAGAAAATAAGTAATTAATATTCGGTTTACAAATAGTGTAGGGTATAATTAAGGAGACAGTAAAGAAAATAAGTAATTAATATTCGGTTTACAAATAGTGTGTCAGAGGTGCGTACAGAATGTTTTTGGGGACAGAAAGGAGGTACAGCAACTCAGCCTTGGAGAAGAAGGAAGAGCAGAAAAATTCTGTGAGCACGTGATACTTGAACCAAGCCTTACGCACTAAGTCAGTCCTGGACGGGGTGGTAGGTTGGGGGCAGGGGAGGGATGCATTCTGGGAACGGCACAGTTATAGGCCAGGACCGAGGTGTATAACCGATTCATGTTTATTTCCCATACGGTAATGTTCCAACACCTGTCTTAGACCAGGACCGTTCCATTGTGAAGTGTTCCCCGTTCTGATTTGTAACGGGGAAAACAAAGGCAATGTAGTGAGTTGTATCCAACTTTTACATTTTAAAATTATGATCATTCTTACTTCTTTTGTTGTTAAATGTTCTTTCTTTAATGAAACGGTGGTGATAATACACAGCTGTGTCTGAATTTAATGTTTTATTTGGAAAACCAAAACACTGGTCATTTTATTTTTTATTTTTTTTAGGAAGATTAGCCCTGAGCTAACTGCTGCCAATTCTCCTCTTTTTGCTGAGGAAGACTGGCCCCGAGCTAACATCCACGCCCATCTTCCTCTACTTTACATGTGGGACGCCTACCACAGCATGGCTTTTTGCCAAGTGGTGCCACGTCCGCACCAGGGATCCAAACCGGTGAACCCTGGGCTGTGACCCCTGGGCTGCCGAGAAGCGGAACATGTGCACTTAACCACTGCTCCACCGGACCAGCCCCTCAGGTGCCACTCTTTAAAAAAAAGAAAAAGTATTAGTGCATTAGAATTCCCTGCAGAGCTTTTTTTTTTTTGAGGAAGATTGGACCTGAGCTAACATCCACCAACAATCCTCCTCCTTTTGCTGAGGAAGACTGGCCCTGGGCTAACACCTGTGCCCATCTTCCTCTACTTTACATGTGGGATGCCTGCCACAGCATGGCTTGATAAGCTGTGCCTGGGATCCGAACTGGCAAACCCCCAGGCTGCTGAAGTAGAACACACGAATTTAAGTGCTACAACACCTGGCTAGCCCCCCTTCAGAGCTTTAAAAAAGTATAGTAAACTGACTCTTTATGACACCTTAGCCTTAGTAATTCAGAATTTCTGAGGTAGGAGCTCAGGAATTTGCCTTCTAATAAAACTTCTTAGTTGATTCAGTAAAGCGTCATGATTTGGGTGCAACTACTCTAGCCGGTTGACCTCACCTGAATTAGGGTTGAATAAATAGGCCAAATGAATGAGTGAGTGCTGCTCATATAGGTATACATTTAGGGACATAAACTGTACATTTTTTCCTAACACTGAAATGTACACATCTTAAGAGTGTACTGATAGAAGAAGATAACTCTTTTATGAGAAAGTCTGATTCTTTTTCTTCTTTTTTTTAATGTAAGGTATTTTATTTGATCTTGTTCTTTCTTTCTTCCTTCTTTTGTTCCTTCGTTCCTTCCTTTCTTCCTTTGTTCCTTCCTTTCTTCCTTCCTTTCTTTCTTTCCCTTTCTCTCTCTCTCTCCCTCCCTCCATCCCTCCCTCTTTCTTTTCCTTCTTTCCTTCTTTCCTTCTTTCTTTCTTGCTGAGGAAGATTTGCCCTGAGCTAACATCTGTGCCAATCTTCCTCCACTTTACATATGGGTCACTGTCACAGCATGGCTGACGAGTGGTGTAGGGATCCAAATCTGTGAACCTGGGCCGCTGAAGTGGAGCACACTGAACTTAACCGCTATGACACGGGGCTGACCCCTGAAAGTCTGATTCTTAAGAAGATAGAAAAAACAGGTTATTTTAGGGCCTTTTACTTTTGTGTACAAAGGGTAATAACATGGAAACAGTATTCTTGCAAAGACTTGGCCACTGATGTGAACTTATTTAGGATAAAAAAGTATTGTCTGAGAATTGCAGACTAGGTATGCTCTTGTCTGTGTCATTTAATAAAAAGAGGGTAACATTTTAAAGTCAAGAACATTGATGAATGGTGCAATAAACTCTTGTTAATAATCCATCAGTGACCCAAAAATGCAAATAAACTTCCTTCAAGACCTAACTAATTTTAGAGTGAAACCCCCTAAATCATTTTTTTACATTTCCTAGTTCCATCCCACAATACTAAAGCTCAGTCTTGAATACACAGTCTCCAAGGCATGAATATCGACGTCACGGTTCTAAACTCAGGTAATTTCACTCGCTTTCCTCTCCCCATTTAGATTCACGGCAATTTAGAGATCCCACAGTTCAAGTTTCTGACGCTGTGTTACAGGACTCACCTAAGGCTCGGCACCAGCGCTGGGACTAACCCGTCGGGGACACTGTTTCCATACATACTTTCATAGGAACTTGCACTTGGTAACATGGTGCTTTACCCTCATTTCACCCTTTATGGTTAAGTCCTTTCATGTTTTTCACTATTGTACATTCATTTTTCATTGAATCACACAAATTGGTGAGTTGAGACACGGTGTGTTTTTTTTTCAGGGAAAGATTCACCCTGAGCTAACATCTGTTGCCAGTCTTCCTCTTTTTTTTTCTCCCCAAAGCCCCAATGCATAGTTATATATCATAGTTATAAGTCCTTCTAGTTCTTCTATGTGAGCCACTGCCACAGCATGGCAACTGACAGATGGGTGGTGTGGTTCCACAACCAGAGTGAACCTGGCTGGCTGAAGGGCTGAGAGTGCCGAACTTTAACTACTAGGCCCTCAGGGCTGGCTGGAGACGAGTTTTTAGTATTCACACTTGACAGAAAAGGAAAGAGAGTCCAAACGATGAAGAGAATGCCCATAGTCAGGTGGCACGCTAGTCGGCTCGGCTGCCAGGACGACTGACCACAGACTTGGGGGCTTAAACAACACGAGTTTATTTCTCACAGTTCTGGAGCCTGGGGAGTCCAAGATCCTGGCACTAGATTTGGTTCCCCGATGAGGGCCCTCTTCCCCACCTCCTTCTCACTGTGTCCTCACCTGGGGGTGACAGGAGAGGAGGTAAGCTCTGTGGTCTCTTCTCAAAGGACACTAATCCCGTCCTGAGGGCCCCACCCTCATGACCTCATCAAATCCTAATTACCTCCCAAAGGCCCCACGTCCAAGTACTATCACAGTGGGGATTAGGGCTTCAACATGTGTGAGCTTTCGGGAGGACACAATTCAGTCCATGGCGACAGTTCTCGAACTAACTGGTTTCACTGACACTGCACAAACACGCGTCGAGGTCTCCACTGAGAGAGGCCCTGCAGTATGACATGCTGCACACTGTCTTGTCGGTGGCATCAGAGAGGTCTACACAGAATCAGGGGCCAAGTGCTACAATGGGAAACGGAGTCTGGGGATCAGAAGCCGATGATGCTATGTCCAAGTGAGCAGAGACGGCACGACAATGTCTCAACAGGTGGCAAGCGGGGAGCGGGCACTGCAGGCCGAGGGAGGGCTCTGGAGTGGAAAGGTGCGGGCTGTTTTTGGGGAATGGGGCAGAGCCTGCCAAACCACCCGGAACTGGGCACGTCACCCAGTAAGGCTGGAAGTCCAGCGTTCTGCTCATCGCTCCACTGTTCAGCCTGCGGACACTCGTCCCTTCCTTCTTACTGTCTGTTTCCTGGGGTAGAGACCCTGTTTTCTATTTATTTGGCTGAACCTAGAGGGAATAGCAAGGACTCTGCGGAGGGTGGTCTACAAATCACAAGGCCGTTGAAAGGAAACAAAGCCGGCGCGGCCCGGCCGTGGCAGCTGGCGACGGGGCCGCAGCGGGTCTTCCCAGTCGGAGTGGAATGCAGCGGAGCGAGAAGGCGGGGAGAACCGGTGTTTTGCTAGCGCGCTTACTGCATCAGAAAGAAAAACGATCGTTTCCTAACACACACGAGCGAGGGGAGCCGGGCTCTAAGGTCAGCGCGGCCCTTGCACCACGGGTCTCCAGCGCTGGCAGCGATCCCGGCTCGAGCGCCGCCGGGGAGGAAGGGCGAAGAGGAGGCCTGGGAACCGAGGTCGCAGCGCGGGGCGGCGCCGGGAAGGGGTGCGCCCGCGCGGAGTGGGGAGCGGGCTGCGGCCCCCCGCCCGCCCTCGCCTCGGGGGAGGGCCTTCGGCAGACCTGCCTGGACTCGGAACAATTCATCCTGTTTTGTTTGTTTCAAAATTGTTTTTAATAAAACCATTTTCAGAACCAAATAGGGGCGGTACCCAAAGGAATCTGAAAAATACCCCGCAGGGGCGGGGGAGCGGGGCGAGCCGGTATCTGGAGGCAGCAGGCCGACCGACGGGCGCAGCGCCGGCAGATAAGCGCACTCGGGGCGGGAGGCCGCAGCGAGCCCCGCCGGCCCAGGCGCGGCCCCCGACCCTCCGCGCACGCCCCGAGTCCCGCGGCCGCTGGCTCCCGGGCAGGGGCGGGGGCGGGGCCGTCCGCGGCCGGGGGCGGGGCCTGGCGGGGCGTGCGGCTAGGGCGGGCGGAGGTGCGACCTCTGCCATCCCCTGATTGGGTCTGGGCTGAACAAGGGGCGGTGTCTTGGGTCGGCCCTGCGGGCCGGCATTGGGCGGCGGAGAAGTAGGGCGTGGTTTTATGAAGTCAGTTCCGGTTGGTGTAAAACCCCCCGGGGCGGCGGCGAACGGGCTTCAGATGCTTCTGGGTCGCGGTGGGGAAAGCTAGTCAGTTGGAGTGTGAGAGCTTGGGAGCCGAGCGCTAGAGCGACCCGACGAGGGATGGCGGCCCCCGGGACCGCGGCCGCCGCGGCCACGGGCAGACTCCTGGTCCTGCTGCTGCTCGGGCTCACAGCGCCCGCTGCGGCGCTGGCCGGCTACATCGAGGTGGGGACCGGGCGAGCGCCCGAGCGCAGTCTCCACCGCCCGCCGAGGGCGCGCGGCCTGCGAGCGGGCGGGCGGCGGGGTCCTGGACTGGCCGCTGGGGGCCGGCGCGGGGGGCGGTGGGGGTGGTCTGCGCTGCGGCGGGTCTGGCGCGCCCTCCCCCGCCCGCCCGCCCCTGCTTTGCGCAGTGCTTAGCGCTGGAGGTCGGGCTGCCTCCGCCGCCGCAGAGGCCAAATGAAAGGCATCGGGGCTGCGGGGCGCGGGGGCGGCGGGCCGCCCCAGCCACCGTCCCAGCCACGGCACCGCCACATCCTTTGGGGGCCACGCGCGGCCCAGACGCCCACCCCGCCCTGCCCCCGGACAATGCGAGCCTCTGCCGTGCGCCCTGCGGCCTCGCCGGCGGTCGAGCTCCCTCCGGGGCGGCCCCGCGCAGACCCCAGGCCCCGGGCCAAAGCGGGCAGCGCGCTTCCCGCGTAGGGTGGTGGGGCTTCCCGCCGGGAAGCAGCAGATGCGGTCTTTGTTGGCAGCGTAGGCTTGGCTGTGGGGATGCGGGTTTCCCGGTTTGGCCCTTGGAAAGTGCGGCGGTGCTGCCCGGGCGAGCGCGTCTTTGGCTGCGGGGTGAGAATGCTCTTGCACCAAGCAGCGGGTGTGCCTTCTGCTTCCTCTGTGCCTCCCTCTCGAATAGATCCACCGCTCTGGCATCGGGCCCTTGAGAGGAATTGTTAAATATAGCTGTTTGCCTAAGTCTCATAAACAAGGGGGACCCTTCTCTGGTGGTGTGAGGTTCAGTGAGTAGAGAAGGTACCCGTGAATACGTTGTAAAAACTTTAGTTTAATCGTGCTGTTTTGGTGTCAGAATTTAGTAGTCCTGCATCTTGATAACTCCGTAAACATCTTTGTGCTGCGAGGCGGTTAAGTGGCCCGGATTTGTGGGTGATTCCAGGGTTGCTGGGTCAGGGTGGGTGCTGCGGCGCGGTGTGGACGCTGCAGCTTCGTGGAAACGGTTCTGTTCCTGAGGGAGACCTGGGACTTTATTTTTACTTGCCTTCTCGAAATAGTGCTGGAACTGTCGGACTGGAATGCGTGTTTCTGGTGTAGTTTATTTCTTTTCCCTCTTCACTGTTTTTAAAATTACAATGAATTTCTGCGTATTTAGCTAATTTCAGAGAGAAGTGAGACTGGGTTTGATTACATAGGCATTGAGCAAGAAGTTTCTAATAAAAACCTCGAGTTAGAATGTTCCTCTACAAGAATGATTAAACATTTCCACGGGCAAAACACATCTAATCAGGAACAAACCTTCTCCGATGGAACTGCTTAAAACATTTTTATTCATCCTGATTAAAGCTTTATGATTTCTTAGGGGAAAAAAGGAAGTTTTAAATAGAAATAGTTAACGTTTATATACACATGCTTTAGAGTATGGTTATTTTACTTTGCACACAATGGCTAGATTTGTGTCTGTGCTTCCCCATATGATGTCTCATGAAAGCAGACTAGATCAGTAGGATGGGAGGGGGAGGGAAAAAAGGATTTTGTATGGAATATAGAATTTACCTCTTAGGTCAGGCTGTCAAAAACCGTTGTTCACACTCTTTTACCTTGCTTCCCAGGGGTATGAGTAATTTCAGGCACTGGTGAATTCGCAATAAAGGATTCATCAATTTTAATGAACTTCTTCCTTTCAGGGTTAAGAAAAATAACACGTGTGCCTGCAGAGAAAAAAACTAACAATATCAGAATTAGTTGTTGTGGATTAAATTTGTTGCACACAGCATTGTTCAACTCAAAATTCTGGCTAGACAGAAAGTAGGAATTAGACATTTTCCTAAAATGTTTTTTAAATGCTGTTTTATGGTAACATCTGTTCTTTAGAACTATATTTTTGCCCACACTTACTAAATTATCTTTCAAGTAGGTTTTCTTTTTGTCAAGCAGACAGAAATTTATTCATACGTATATAATTTGGTGGTGTTTATTTGCTTTCAGGCAAAGGACTGCCTAAGCCTTAATTTAGATGAGAACGCCCTAAATCAGGATTGTCTTTGGGAAGGTCCTTACTGAGATTAGCCCATGGGATTCTAGCCAAATCCCTGATCAGGTTGCTTGGCACAGAATTATTGATTGGCGAATCTTTAGTGTTGCTTGGTGTTGACTGAATTAATCTCTTACACCTGTTTAAAAAGAAAAAATATACCACCTCTGTACTTAGGGTCACTTCCTCTTTTAAATCCAAGAGGAGTTCTGTTGTGTGGATGCTCCCGTTTAGGATTATCAGACAGTATTTGTGCAGAAGCTCTGCACTCTGTACAGTGGATGTCCAGGCTTCTGAGAGGCAGAACTTAATTCTGCCACATTTAAAAAGTGAGTTGGCCATTCAGTAGCTAGTTTTGAAGAAACTCACAGTGTGACAACTGAGGCTTTGTGTTGGTATTTCTGAGTGGCATGGTGTAGCGAATGTGTGCTTATGACTTGGAGAGATGCCAGCGCTTCTGATGGGAACATCAGTCGTTATTTTATCATAACTGTTAAAAACCTTTTGATAAATATGACAAACTAAGTTTTATCAATCAAGTCCTCCTTTCAGAGGAAATTTGTTTTCGTTGTGTAAAGCTGGACTGTCCAATAGTGTAGCCACATGTGGCTGCTGAGCTTGCGTTATGGCTAGTGTGATTGAGGAATAAATTTTCCACTTTATTTAATTTTAATTAACTTTACCTTTATGTTTAAAAACTAATATTCTATTCAGTGATTGGCAAACAACTGTGTTTGAAACAACTTGGTCATGTGAATCTACTTTTTTAACTGTGCGTTTTATAAAATCTAAGTACAGATCAAGAATTTCCTCTGAAAATTAAGCCTCTGAATTGAGATTACTGGAAGTGTAAAATGCACACCAGATTTTGAAGACGTAGTATGAAAAAGTTGTAAAACATCTCAATTTTTATATTGATTACACTGAAATAATATTTTACATATTGGCTAAGTAAAATATAAAAATTATTTTCACCTGTTTCTTTTAATTTTAATGTGGCTACTAGAAAATACTACATACATGGCTCATATATTTTTCCTGGATAGTACTAATTTCTTGCTTGAAGTTGGTCCAGCATGATTTTAAATGTTTTCAGGATGATTTTTGAATATTTTTTGTGTTACTGTTTTCAATTAAAAATTTTATATAGAAGTAATTTCAAGCTTACAAAAAATTGCAAAAATTGTACCAACAACTCTCATACCCTTTACCTAGATTTACCAATTGTTATCATTTCTGCTAGTCAGCATTTTCTTTCTCATTCATTCTATTATTGTGTATTTTTTGCTGAGCTTTGAGAGTAAGTTGCTATGCATCGTGCCCCTTTACCCCTGGAAAGTTCAATCTGTATTTCCTAAGAACCAAGGACATTGTCTTACATAACTTTAGCACAGTTATCAACAAGGAAATTTAACATCCATAGAATACTTTTTTTTTTTTTAAAGATTGGCACCTGGGCTAACAACTGTTGCCAATCTTTTTTTTTTTCCTGCTTTATCTCCCCCAACCGCCCCCGTACACAGTTGTATATCTTAGTTGCAGATCCTTCTAGTTGTGGGATGTGGGACGCCGCCTCAACGTGGCCTGACGAGCAGTGCCATGTCCGCGCCCAGGATCCGAACCCTGGGCCGCCGCAGCGGAGCGCACGAACTTAACCAGTGGGCCACGGAGCCGGCCCCCTAGAATACTTTGATCAGATATGCTCTTTGTATTCCAGTTTGTCAGTTGACCCAATAATGTCCTTTATAGCATTTGAAAACATGGTTGTTTTTTTTACTTTTTAAAATTTAATTGTTTATTTTAAAGATTGGCACCTGAGCTAACAACTGTTGACAATCTTCTTTTTAAAAAATTTTTTTTCTGCTTTTTCTCCCCAAATCCCCCCAGTACATAGTTGTATATTTCAGTTGTAGGTCCCTCTAGTTGTGGTCTGTGGGATGCTGCCTCAGCGTGGCCTGATGAGCCCAGGATCCGAACCAGTGAAACCTTGGGCCGCTGAAGCAGAGTGTGCAAACTTAACCTCTTGGCCTGGGCCACCGGGCCGGCCTCAAACATGGTTGTTTTTAAAGCTAAAGAGCTTTACTATTCTGGCAGTAATATGTGAATATTTTCCAAGTATAAAACCCAGATTTTTAACTTACCTGATATTGTTTGGACTTTGGAAAATCAAAACTTAGAAACATTTCATGATCTTTTTTTTTTTTTTTTGATTTTATTTTTTCCTTTTTCTCCCAAAAGCCCCCCGGTACATAGTTGTATATTCTTCGTTGTGGGTCTTTCTAGTTGTGGCATGTGGGACGCTGCCTCAGCGTGGTTTGATGAGCAGTGCCATGTCCGTGCCCAGGATTCGAACCAACGAAACACTGGGCCGCCTGCAGCGGAGGGCGCGAACTTAACCACTCAGCCACGGGGCCAGCCCCCATTTCACGATCTTTTAATTATAGTATTCACTCTTACTGAATTCTCAGGCTTTTGCATTTTCTTTTTATTTTTTTCTCTTTCTCTTTTTTTGGGAAGATTAGCTCTGAGCTAACATTGCTGCTAATCCTCTTTTTTTTTTTTTTTTTTTTTTGCTGAGGAAGATTGGCCCTGAGCTAACATCCATGCCCATCTTCCTCTATTTTATATGTGGGACGCCTTCTGCAGCATGGCTTGATAAGCATTATGTAGGTCTACACCCAGTATCCGAACCTGCAAACCCCGGGTTGCTGAAGTGGAGTGCATGAACTTAACTGCTGTGTCACAGGGCTCACCCCTGCATTTTCTTTTTAAAATAACATCAGAATTACATAGCTAGTGCCTATTCATTGTAAAAATAAAGTACGTATAGACAGTAAGAAATGAAAAATAATCTGAAATCATTTTATCCAGGGAAACCTCCCTTGTAAACATTTTGGTGGTGTTTATTTTTCTAGATCTAAGCTAACAGGTGCATACATTTTATAAAAGTGGCATATGTTGCATATTG